GGTAGCCCAGTTTAACGAGGACCCATACCGCACACCCTCGGTCCCTACGCAGACTGATCCAAGTGGTCACCCACCCGCACACTGACCGTAGCCAGTGATGCTTGACTTCGGTGATCTGCTGGGAACCGTATCTTAACGATTAGTCCACTGCGGGACAATAAATGATCCGAATATATTGCAAAGTATTCACTCGGATCAAAAATATAACCGTGAAAGAAAATCATAATTTTTTTTAAGTAAAATTTTTTATTTGATTAAAACTCATGATATTCAAATTATTATTTTTTACAAATATTTTCATAGTTACCAATAATTAATAATAAATGCATTTTTGTACAAGTATATGAATGTATGTAATAAAATATATATATAACTGGATTGTAATTCTCATTTTATCCCATTTGTCCCGCTTTGTCTCAATGAAAATAGGGTCACTTTAGTCTAATATAAATTCTGGAAATAGAAAGGAATTAATTCATAATTTATTTACTACGCTTATAATTCTTATTAAATTACACTATTATTATTTAATTAGAATAATAATAGTATAATTTAATAATAGTATAATTTAATAATATTAGTTTAGAATTTAATGATTAATACTATTATTAAATTCACTATCCATAGAAAGAAAATATTTTGTGAAGAGCAAACACTAACACGCTTGCAATGTTACGCCTGTGTTTCTAAATATTTTTGGTCCGGTGAGTAGCACTTTAAATATTGTAGGAGCAGAGGTCTGTTTTGAAGAAATTTGCGTCCGTTAACGGACCCTTCACAAAATATCGTTTCATTAAAACGGACCCTTCATAAAATATTTTAACTTAAAAACGGACCCTTCACAAAATAATTTATCTTTTTATCGGACCCTTCACAAATTTGTTTATTTTCATTATTGTTTTGTTAATTGTATAAACACTTCCCAGAAAGATGGATGTAAATGAATTAAGTTTTGTCTTCGGCAGACTCCTCTTCCATTATTCTTCGAAACGAATATTCTGCGTGCAGAGCAGCATAGGCTAAATACCAAATATTTGCATGTTGCTTCTCTAATCTAGAAGCAGCAATTGCTGTTTATTTTTAAAATTTTTATTTTTTTATTATAATTTTACAGTGTTGAGCATAATCATGTATCTATTTACAATTTAAAAACTCCTTGAAAATTGTTTTTGCAATAACAGGACCCTATTTGCACAAATTGATAAGAACAGGACCCTGGTTGAAAGAATGTGATTTGACGTTTATTTTATATTCACAAATTACGAGTAATTTTTTTTACAATTTTACAAAAACAGGACCTTTTACAAAATGTCTGAACAGACCCCTGTTTATTATTATTCATAGCCCTTACCGGAGACTTTACTTCAGTAGATATAGTAAAACACGTTTTTAGTATCTCATCTCATCAAAATAAAAATTTAATTTTATTTTATAACCGTCGTTGAACAGCCGACCCAATTTCATGATTTTACGACTACTTACGTTCAACTCCGTAGCCTTGTAATTTTGAACCAATCCAGAAGACAAGGAAACTCCTGGATCAGTACCCCCAGAGGTATTGATTTGTTGTGGGAACATGGAGGACTTTGAGACTCGACAGATTTAACGTGCATCAGTCACCATTTACTACACGGGGAGTCTTCGGCCGAAGAGGATCGAACCCACGACCTCTTGGATACGGGTCCAGCGCCCTACCGACCAGGCTATCCCGGCCCCAAAATAAAGATTAACTGTATTCAGTATCATCTAACACTATGCTCTTTCTTGAAGTTAACTCAATGATATGCGAAATTTGCCACAGCCGAATAATTTCGCTAGCACTCATAACTTCAAACGGTCATAACAAACCTATTTTCACAGTAATTATCATAATAGTGCACAGTATCATTAGTGCAGTTTTAATAGTCCGCAAATTTTCTAAAAAAAAATACTTTGTACCTATATTAGTATCTTTGGTACTTACTAAAACTCTACCATAATACTTAGAGGTCTGTCCAGGGCAAATTTACTATCGTTTAGCGGTAACTTCACTAATTCAACTTTAGGAAAAGTGGTAGTTTCACAAAATACTTAAAAAAAAAGTTCTAAAATTCTCTCCCACTGCCCTTTTAAAATTTTATTGTTGTATCCCTGTAAAAACAATAAACCAAGAATTTATTTCGCATTTCGATTTGCAATGGAACCCAACAGTGGTTTGCTCTACGAATAAGTCAGGTGTTTGGTCAGATAGTGCGGCGTAAGTCTAACCGGTCACTAACGCCTTATTATAGCGAACTTTTTTTTCCGCAGGGTTTTTTTTAAATGAAATGACGAAGCTTTCCCTCTGTGAAGTTTGCAGGAAGTCGAAACTCGAACTAATATTTTAAACATTATTCCTTTGTTTTTTAATGAAACTTTTTTTTCTCTGTGAATTTTTTTTCTGTATGAGCCAGTCTAGTTCTGTTAAATCTATGTTTCTATTAAATTCAAGTTGAAATTTAATTAAGGACATTGATTTTTAAATTTGGAAACAATTTTAAGATCAAGATTTTACCACAACAAATTTGTTTTTGAGCACATATGGGAAAAATATATATGTAGAAATTTACCAGTCATAAATGATTTTTATTTGTAATGACAATGTTTTCTTATTTTACCATGTTTTTGTGTTGATTTGTTAACATAATTTTCACAAATTATGTCTAAATTTTCACAAAATAGGTACCTCTTAAAGAAACCTAGACAGACCCCTCTTAGTGCATATTATCAGAAATAATTAAGCATCATTGACATCAATAACAGATAAAAGTATGGCAGTTTTTTGCTTTCCCCTCAAACGAATTAGTATCATTTCTTTCTCAATTTGACTTTTTATTATAGCTTCCCTTTTTTTTTCTTTCAATTAGTACGTATTACCAAAATTAATTGAGCATTGACGTTAAAAATCTTAATGATGATTTTATACTTTCCTCCCACGAATTTGTTCTATTTCTCCATGAATTCTGATTTTTAGAACATAGTTTATTTTCATTATTACAATTACAACCTCCTTGTTTCGATTTGTTCGAACCCGCTCGATCGCTATTTTTTGATGGTGACTGGTTTCTTAATTCAACTGTAACATTGGGTCACTATCGAAGTCCGTTGAAGAAACTTAGCTCTTTCGGCAGGTCACGTGAGCTATATTTTTCTTCCGCCAATGAAAAAATTCATACGCGTTTTCTCAACTATCGTTTGGGGGAATATTTTTAACTGTGATTTTCAAATTAGCGTCTGCTCGCAAAGTTGTGATCTGATCATCGATATTTGTGTCTGTAATCATCTAAAATATTACTTAAGCTCTTTAAATATTTCACAGTATTAACAACATTTTTTTTAAAAAGTGTTGTTTTATATAAAAATTTAAAAGTTATTTTGATTTAGAATAATTATTTTAAACAATTTCGGATACAACGATGTTAAGTTTTCAGTTTTAAAATTCTCTTTATTTAAACGTTTTAAGCTCTCATGACATATTTTAATTTGTGTTAAGTATTTTTTAACGTTTGTTTTAGATAATAATTTGAAACTTCTACTAATATATATATATTTGTAGTATATATTATATATATTTAATTTGAAATTTACATTTTCAAAATACCTATGCATCAAAAAACATGGACCGGGATAGCCTAGTCGGTAGGGCGCTGGGCCCATGTCCGAGAGTTCGTGAGTTCGAACCCCGCCGGCCGAAGACTCCCCGTGTAGTAAAGTGACTGGTGCACGTTAAATCTGTGGAGTCTCAAAAGTCCTCCATGTTCCCATAACAAATCAAAACCTCTGGGGGTACTGGATTGGAGATCGATCGTTCTCCGATTCAGGTCAAAATTACGATCTGTGGATGAATGTATAAATGGGTCCGCCCTATAAACGGGTGCGACGTATGGTGTGGCAGAAGTCGAATTCTTGGCCGTAGATGGCGCCACTGAAAAACAAGAACAATCGCACTTCTTTGCCTAAACAGGCATACGTCTACAACAACAACAACAGCAAAAAACATATGCGTTTAACCAGCTCGGCAAACGTAAGTCCGTAATGAGATTAAATAGTTGTATATACCTTGTCGAACATCCAGTGGCAGAATTTTTTCGAGCTATCTGCGACCAAACTCTGTAGCACTAATAACTCTCTAGATTACGCATCGTGTAAATAATCATCACAATAAAAAAATAATGAAAAATCATGAAATCCGCGCATACTAGAAATTGCCACTAAAGAAATCGACGACGAAATCACGTGATTCGGACACCTCAAAAAGGGGTTATTTAAATGCGTGTTTCGTTTGGACATTAGATTGTTGTAATAAATAACATCCTATAAAAATATCGGATTTAAAAACTATAGCGAACAATAGCAATAACAGCCAAAATATAGATGGAATCTTTGCTTTTAAAAAAATAGATACTCAAATGCACGATTCGAATTTTCCTTATTTTTCAAAATATATCGGGATATTTAAAAACCCACTTGAAAGTCAATATCAATAACTTCCGAAAATACAATCGAAACATTATATCGATTTACGATACTGTCGTTCTTAAATTGATTCAAAAAAGTTTTCATCGTTTCAAAAAGTGATTATCTAAATGCATGATTAAAATTTTACGTGTAAATTTCTGTAGAAAAGAAAACTATTTTTTTTTTTTTTTTTTTTGAGACAGAGTCTCGCTNTTTTTTTACTTTTCAAAAGAAAAATCTTTCTGCAAGAACTTAGTAACGTACTGCGACAATGTCGCCGGTCGCTGCGATTCTGCCACTGGGGTGGAAAATGATAATTAATCAAATGTTGGCAATTTATTCTTTTGTTGTTGACGTATGCCATTAAGGCAGAGAGGGTGCGATTGTTCTTGTTTTCCAGTGGCGCCATCTATGGCCAAGTAAAAAAATTAAAACTTTTAAAATCTCTTATAAATAGTAAATAACAAACATCAATTAAAAGAGATTGCGAAGCTATATTTATATGTTGTTTTATTTATTTGCAGAAATAGAACTTGCAACAAAATGCGTAGTAGAAGTGGATCAGCAACAGACTATACTGCACAATCCTCATTCCAGGAACGGGTGAGTTTTGCTTTTGTATTTTAATATTTTGAATTTTCTTCGATTTTTTTTAAATGTGAAAGCTCATACAGAGTAGCGCCGCGAATGTATCGTAACTACCACTACAATTATTCAATTCCCATTCACTAATATATAAGACATGTTAACTCCTTTGTTTGTCCTGAAGTACCATCTCCATAGATGACTGTTTACATTGTCGGTAACGAACATCGCACTCGAGAATTGCCATTTGTCGTTGTAGAGTATGACAACCTCCTTGGGCAAAATTTAACCGTAGTGCATGCGTTCTAACCTGTTGTCAGTAGTCTTCTGAATTAAGCTTTCTAATAACTACGTTTTTTAGATAACTTTCACTAATAACCACGTTTTTTTTTTTTAGAAAAGATGATAAGTTATTCACTTTAGTCACATAACCGGTTAGTAACTGAATCAATAAAGAAAAAAGAAAACAATGGAAATAAAAACATGACCACCGAAGCCGATGTCTTCAGGGGGTACCAGCTCCGGAAGTCATGGAACAAAACCTTTTCTATTGAGAGAGCACGACAAATGCTAAAATTTGCTGCCTCAGTACCCCGATGGTTTTGCCAAAGTCCAGGAAAAATACAAGACAAACATAAAATCAAATCAGAAGAGAAATTTCAAACAAAATCTTGAGAATATAATACAAAAATTAACATACAAAAACTCACAGTTCAAACAGCAATTTCATGAAACTAACTCAAAGTGAAAGAAACATTTGAAATAAAATTATTTCAAATATTTGTTGTAAAACTTTACAGAGTTCTTGCAGAAAGATTTTTCTTTTGGAAAGTAAAAAAATTTAGTTTGTTTTTCTGCAGAAATTTACACGTAAAATTTGAATCACGCATTTAAATAATCACTTTTTGAAGCGCACAATTTATGCCGATATCGTAAATCCATTTTGATTGTATTTTCGGCTGTTATTGGCATCGATTTTCAAAGTCCCGAAATATTTCAGGCGATATGGGAAATTCGAATTGCGCATTTGATCATTTACTTTTTAAGGCAATAATTCTAGCAATTTTTTTTGGCAGTTATTGCTTTTGATTTCCACATAGTTTTTAAAACCCGATATTTTTTTTATACATTATTATTTACTACAGCAGTCAAATCTCGAAACGAAACATGCATTTGAGTAACCCCTCTCTGAAGAATCCGATTTGCGTGATTTCGTTGTCGATCTGTTTTTCAGTAATTACTGCAACACATTTCATGGTATTTAATCATTTTTTTAATGTGATGATGATTTGCAAAATGCGATAAAGGAAATAATTAGTCAGTCCCCTCCCCCCAACAAAATGCGAGAATATAACCTATAATATTAGAATAAGAAAATACAACAAAAAAATTATCGTTTTTGTAAGCACAGTGATTTTCTTACCTTAAATTAGAAACATGCATCTTTATCATTGAAAGTATCTAGCAGAAAGATATTACAGGGTGGGTAGCGTTTTTAAAAAATGCTTAAGGGTGCTTATTTTTGATTTACGTTTTTAGGAGCTCTTAAGGTGCTTTTTTTATTCGGGGTTTGTAACAAGTGCTTAATTTTTTATCTTTTAAAAAAAGATTATGTCTTTGCCGTGTCGATTGCCGTTCTAAATTACAAAAAAAATGCATGATTTTTACAATTTTCTCCGCCATATTTATCAGAAACATGCCATATTTATTTCTACCGCCATATTTATTTTATCATGATTATGTAAAGTTTTTTAAAAATGTTTTTGAATCTTATTGATTCTATGTTTATAAATTAGGAACTTTAAACGATAGAATTTTTTTTTTATTGTTGCACAGATCCTAGTTATGAAATTTTTTTTTTTGGAAAGTGATTAAGAATATTTTATGAGTGCTTAAGAAATACTTAAAAGGTGCTTATTTTTTGTTGAAAAATCAGGCTACGCTCCCTGTATTAGTGCTAGAGAGTTTTGTTGCAGAAAGCCCAAAAAAAAATTCTGCCATAGGGCACACACGCATATAATACAGTGGTGGCCAAAAGTGTGGACATTTTTTGAAAGTTTCATGTTTTTCAACTTTGTGTGCTTGTAGAATATATTAATTTTCACTTAAATTGAACATTAAATTGCTTAGTTTATATATTAAATTGAAGGTAATTTAATGCAGAATTTAATAACAAAAACAGAATTAAAATATCTATATTACAAAAAAAGTTATGCTCATTTTAGTAGAACAAACAAACAAACAAACACAAATCGTTTTGAATAAGGACGTGTTTTGTAATAAAAGCGTACTAGCCAATCACAAACACTGTTCTTAGGACCAATCAAATGTCTGTAACTATAGTTTAGGTTATTGGGATGGTAAAAGAGTTATTGTTGTGGAAATATTTTGTGGAATGATTCGTACTAGTACAATTAAATAAAGTATTGCTGTTTTTGAATATTTAAAGTCTCTTTTTTTAATTATACTAATTTTAAGCAATGTCATCAACAAGAAGAACTAATTGGACTTCTACAAAAAGAAGCCGAATTGTCATATTGAGAGAAAATGGCTTCTCTTATGCTGAAATTGCAAGACAAGTTGGTGGTTCAGTGACTTGTTTGGTGTACGTTCTGTTTACGTCATGAAAAAACGAAATCAGTGGAAAATAAAGCCGAATCAGGCCGAAAAAAATGCACAAGTGCTACTACCGATTGAAAAATTAAACGGCTATGCCTTCAATTTAGAAAAATTTCATCAGATGCCATTAGAGGTGAAATGAATGCAGCGGGTATTGCAGTAAGTTCAAGAACAATAAGAAGGTTATCAGGATTTGGACTACAAGCTAGAACTCCAAGGAAAAAACCATATTTAAATCAAAAGCAATGCGAAAAACGAGTTAAGTGGGCAAAAGAACACATTTAATGGTCAGAAAATCAATGGAAGCAAGTAATCTGGAGCGATGAGAGTAAAATATCGCTCTTTGGTAGTGATGGTAGAAAATACGTGAGACGTGAGTAAGTGAAGCACATCATCCTGATTGCATTGAAGCAACTACAAAAAAAAAAAAAAACCCCAACAAATGTCATGATCTGGGCATGTATGTCTGCAGATGGTGTGGGCCGAATTCAAGTGCTTGATGGCATCCTGAATGCCAAAAAAATACATCGAAACTCTCCTGAAACCAAAATTTATACCTTCCATCAGGGATCTCTTTCCCAACAACGCACCATTTATTTTTCAGTAGGATTCAGCTCCATGCCACACAGCAAAAGTATGCAAAGCCTGGTTTCAAAATAAAGGCATAGATATATTACCATGGCCAGGAAACAGCCCTGATCTCAATCCAATTGAAAATTTGTGGCAACGTTTGAAAATTCTTGTACGAAAAAAACGTCCATCCAATAAAAGACAACTTATTGAAGCTATAATTGATTCTTTGCACCATGTGATTACGAAAGATGAATTCCTAACACTCGTTCACTGGATGAAAAGATGCTGTGAAGCTGTCTTAAAAAATAAGGGTTACTCGTATCTTACTAAGTATTGATTGTGTAAGTAACACTTTAAAAAAAATGCAAATCTAAGATCTTACTGTTAGTTGCATAACTTTTTTTGTAATACAGATATTGTAATACTGTATTTATTATTAAATTTTACATTAAATTACCTTCAATTTGATATATAACTGTTTGTATTTAAGTGAAAATTAATCTATTCTACAAGCACACAAAGTTGAAAAACATGAAACTTTCAAAAAAGGTCCACACTTTTGGCCACCACTGTATATATTATTATTTATATTAATTATCTATCCTATTCACTTAGTTACGTAGTTTTATGACTAGTGGTAGAGATCTCGTTCTAGTTAAAAGCTCAGAGAAAGGTCAAGGTGAAGAGCTGGAAAGGAAGGAAAACGTGATCCCAACAAAGGGGAAAATATTCTCATTAGTGTTATTCCACACAAAAGAAATCGTCAAGTGTTGGTGGTTCTCCTTCACACAATTCTTCTATTCATAAAATAGAAAAGGTGTGGTTCCACCAGCAAATAATATGCTTTTAATGTTCATCCTTCCCTTTACGGTAATAAACATGCATCTTAAGTTATCCGGGAATAATTTTTTTGGCATAAACATTCCCTAAGAAAATTAATCTTAGCCCGAATTAGTTATTGAATATTCAATCATTATTTAATCTTTTAGTTTATTTTAGGAAGCATACATTCCCTGGCTCAATTATTAGACGCGCTATAAGATTCTATATAAAATCTTAATTACCAGGTGATACTATACAGCTTTATTGTTTTTACGCGGTTTGCACTTGTTTACGTTAGTGCAGAGGTCACCAAAGTGTCTATATAGACCCCCAGGGGTCTATTTAACAAAAATGGGGGGCGATCCGAATAGGAAGNTAACAAAAGTGGGGGTCGATCTGAGCCAGGGGGTCGAATGGGGGTCGATCCGAATCGGAAGGGTCGAAGAATAAACAGTTCTTAATACGCAAATCCCAAATATCTAATTGAGTATGTAAAATTTGTGAATTTTTTTTATTAATTGACTTCATATCAGTTTCTTTATAGAACATAAATTAATAATCGCATCATCAAAAACGTGGACATCAACCTGCAAAGATGAGTTTGCTGAATTATTATCGGATCTTGAAGAAAAGAAGCTTTTTTAAAAATTTAACAATAAGTAAATTTTGAACAAATATAAATATAATGCAAAAATATGTAGAACTTTATGAAATAGCTCAGCCTTTTTATGCTAGCTTTTCCAAGTTCCTATATGGTTGAAGCCGGTTTCAGTCACGTAAATTCAATCTTAACTAAGTACAGAAATAAATTAAATGTGGAGTTACGAGGGGATTTAAAATTAAAATTGACCAATTTTGAACCCAATATAGCGAACCTTGCAAAAAAAACCCNAAATGCGAATCGCGACGTTGAGCATTATCTTGTATGTCTTTACAATTTAAAAACTCCTTGAAAAAGTTTTTTTTTTGCAATAACGGACCCTATTTGAACAAATTCATAGAAG